ATGAAAACAAAGGGGATTGAACCCGGGTCGCCAGCATGAAAATACAAAGCGTTTACTGTTACGCTATTGGGACCACATCTCTAAATCTACTTGTATATACTTCTGAAACAGCACATCTGTCTTAGAATAATGAAAGGCGGTCACTATTCATAATTTTGCGTCACACGCCACAAGTAAATCTTCGCGCCAAACTTGCTCAAGATGATCACATCGGAATTTGTTACTTGAGTTTTAACAGTAATTTTTTGGATAGATAATCTATTAGTGATGAACAGATGACACTGTTTTCTTTCCTTTATTCGATATGTATTCAACTTTTTATTCCATGCAACTCCATATACAGGCATGCCAATGTTATATATTTCTGCACTATTGTCGCCATTTGTCTACTACTTAAGTCGGGTCATGATACATTATTTCGTGCCAAACGTCACAAGTAGTTCTTAACGATATTCCTTTGAAATGTTTGATCTATTTAATGGATCTGATAGCTTCAATGAAAATTAGAAATGTATGTTCTAATAACCGGAATTTCGAGCGTTAGAAAGTATATTTATCACATTATACAAATATAATATCGTATACGGCCAAGTAAAACTAAAGCTGTGAATTCGGTAAGATTTTCCATGAATTTTGTATCCTGTTTACCCCCAAAGTGGAGATGAGTTACACGTTCATGAAAAGACTGGACTGTTTCACTGAAAAAAAAAATCACTCGCCCTCCGACGGTCAAGGAATCTGATACTCTTTATGTTCAATAAAATGTTTTTCTTATTTTTGTCTTTTCTGTTCATTTAATATGTCATAAGCCTGCGAGGTAAAATAAACAGAAGTCAAGTAACACTTCAGAAACATAGTGAATATTAAGTCAGGCAAGTTTCTTGAAAAGCTATTACTTATAACCATGGTTTAGGATAAGTTTTCCCTGGTGCAAAACAAAAGACTGTAGTCATCGTATTTCCACTTGTAGTCATGTTGTGTTCTACTATAAGATGCAGACAAAAGCAATTTAAATAGAAGTTTGAGAAAACCTCATATTAAAAATATACTCAATACAACGTAATTGCGATGTAGCAATCTAAAGAATCCTTTACATTTCATAAATCTTTTTGGTAGAAGTTTCCTTCATCTAAACGCTCAGCTGACCTTCTAGAACACGACTTGCTTAATGGCGGAGTTTACGGAGACCGCCGCCATCTTGGACACGCTTCAGATTTTTAAATGCGAATATCTAGTGTGTGGATTGATCAATTCTTAAATAAATTATATATTTGGCCTTTCCAGTAGGATCTTGATTACCGTTAATTATATCAAAGAAAATATTGAAAAACAAAAAAAGTTGAAAAAGTGCACATTTTGAATTCACTTCCTGTAGCGACCGGAAGTAATGACGACGCAAACGATGTCAAAATTGCACATCTATAACTGATGGTCTATCATCTCTAACAAGTCTCCAGTTAATATCTTGAGCCGTTTTCGAGAACATTCGAAGACAAAATTGCATTTTAAAATCAGGAAATTGCCCATAACTTGGCACTGGTAGCGAATTTTCCAACAAACTGAATTTTATATAAAATTCATATAATGACCTATAATTCCTGAAATTTTCATTGAAATCAACCGAATAGTTTACGAGAAATCGCCTGCACAAAATTTGGTCAGAAGAAAAAAGAATAATAATAATAAGAAACAATAGAATCACTATAAGGTCTTCCGTGAAGACGGAAGACCTTAATAAAAAACAGACGAATAACAGTAAGGTCTTCCGAAGGAAGTCGGAAGACCTTAACTAGATGCGTTCTTGTTGCTGGGGCAACAAGCAGGTCTTCCGACCGACTTCTCTTTTGCAACCTATGCTGTGTCATCCCATGAAATAGATTTCATAATGTATTTTTTTTCGTTTACGTTGATTTACAGTAGTTTCTCCAGATCGTGATTGTTCAAGGTATTTGACAAAATATCTCCTAATATAGCTTTTAAAAATCGGCAAAATCTTCCACACCTGTTATAAAAGTGTGAAAAGTAATTTGCAACTAAAAAAAGACAAAAACAAAGAAAAAATTTGGGGAACGCCCCGAGCGGGATTCGAACCCCCGACAGTAAGACAAAGTTTGGTTCGGTCATATCTTTGCAATAAACGTACGCATGAAAAAAATGAAAACATATATAGATATCTTTGAGGACGCTCTATAAACCCTGTAAATCTGAAAGAAAAATATTGAAAAACAAAAAAGTTGAAAAATGAGACTTTTTGAATTCACTTCCGTTTACGACCGGAAGTAGAAATGACAAAAAATGAAGGACGTTCGGCACATCTACATGTAATGCTCATTCATGTCCATGAGTTTCAATGTCATATCTTTGGCCGTTTTCGAGAAAAGTTGTGTACAAAAATCCATTTAAAAAATACAAATTTCCCTAAAAATCGCGAACGAAAGAAAATTTTGAAAAAATGAAAAACACGTCTGGAGGTATTAACATGGTGCATCTTTCCTGTAAA